ATCAGCAGAGGAAAGTGAAGCTGCTGTGAGCTGATGTCCTGAAGGGCTTTTAAAGAGTCTCTGAGTTTGACAGGAACATGAAGATGTTTGTGGTGTTTGTGATCCTCCTGCACGGTAAGTACACCTTCCTCTCTCTGCTCTCATCATCAGCTTTTCTTTCATCTCTCTCTCTTTAATGTGTTGAAGTGCAGCAGGAGGAGACCGTGCAGGTTTGTGCTTCCCGTCCTCTGAGCAGAACTGAGCAGAAATTTTCCCGTGAATGCATCACAACATTCATTAACATTTCCATTATAACTATGAGCATGTGCAACTACACTAACAGCAGAATACATCTACATTAAACATGTTCAGATGAAGCTGTGATTTCTTGCTGTGATCCACAGCTCACAGATAATTTGTTTGTCTGTTTATGTGTCCTCAGTTTCCCAGCATGCCCTGGCTGTGTTGGTGGAGGTGAATGAGGGGGAAAGATCTGTCCTGCTGCCCTGTCAGTACTCAGGTTTACCACCTGTGGACCCCACAGTAACATGGACTCGCAGCGATCTCAATCCCAATTCTGTCCACGTGAGACAAGAAGAAACCGACGATCTCAGAGGGCAAAACCAGCGTTACAGAGGGCGCACATCGATGAGGCCTGATGCTCTGGACTCTGGAGACTTCAGCCTCACTCTGAAAAACCTCCAGCTGACTGACAGCGGAAAATACACCTGCACACTCAGCAATGAAAGAAATAAAGTTAGAGTGGGAGATGTACAGCTGCAGGTCAAAGGTCAGCAGTACAGTGAAACTCTGCCTGTAAGAAGCTGAAACAGCAGAAATCAAACAAATCAATGTTCATCCAAAGTGTCCTGATAGTCGTAACAGTCTAACAGTCACGGTCATGTCGAGTTAAAGGGGCTTGACACATTAATGATATCTCTTTACTGTTGTGAATTATAATTTTTTACCTTTTCTGGACAAACGTTAGTTCTAAAGATTTGTATTTGTTTGTTCATGTGCAGAGCCTGCACTGATGACGTTTTCAGTAGGAAAAAGTAAAGCAAAGAAACAGAATTTAGGTTTAATGGGTGGTCACATAAAATAGAAACATTTAAGCTTTTTTCCTGTTAAAAGGAACTTTTCCTTCTCACTGTCACCAAGTGCTTAGATAGCATTATTGCAGAGTGACCTCAGGTCAAGGTTGTTGTAATTTCAGGCTCTTTGACATCAGTGCTTCAAATCTTTACGTTCACTGAAGAAGAGCAATAAAGTAAATGTAGCTTTGAAACAGGAAGCAGTTATTATTTAACTTTTATTGTTGAAAAGTATGGTTCTTGTATACAATCACGATTGGCAAAACATACCCAGATTAGATCAGTGCTACGACTCCCATTGTCTGCTTCTACAGCTGATGTTGTGGTTTGTTGTCCTCACAGACCAGCAAGTGGTGGTTAAAGTGGAGGAAGGCTCAGACTCCGTCATCCTGCCCTGTAAAACAACACCTGACCTGCCTGAGGCCACCACAGTGGAGTGGACTCGCTCTGACCGAGAACTCATGATGATCCATGTGTA